CCAAATTCAAAAAAAAAAAAAAAAAAAAAAAAAAAAAAAAAAAAAAAAAACATTATGCACGCCTTCCGTTGAAGTGAACAGGCGGACCGGCCATACATGTAGCAGTTTGCGTAGAAATGTGTTCTTTGAGATTTGAAGTGTTTGCATTCATTGACGAATGGCACGATTAAATACTAGTTTCTGTCACAGATCCTTGTAGCTATGTAGCAGTTATAAAATCGGTTGGAGGTCCTTTAGTTTGCCAAATAAGATCAAAAAGGAAGAAAAAAACCCAATCTTTTTCTTAAAGAGTTCTAAGAAATCTTAAAACGCAGTCGCATCACTTATCTCACTCTGTGCGCAGCTAAAAATAGTCCTATTATTACAAAATGAATGTATGGCTCTTGAATATACTCAGGGATCATACAGCTTTTGATTATATGAAGTTTACATTACACCGAGAAAAAAATAATACGACAAGGTTTATCGAATGTCGCCGATGAATCATAATTTCGAGATTGCGATGGAATAATTGAAGAAGTGCTACTGGGATGTGTCATGTAAATTGAGCGAGAGAACTTCCGGTTCTGTTGGAAGATTGCCACCCGTGAAATCTTGAGTTCATTGACATTTTGGTGGAACGGTTTTTTTAAATGAGTTATGATTAAATCAACTGTACTTAAATCTGAAGAATGATGTACCGTTACTACTTCAGCCGACTGCTGAAAAGCCTTTAAAATATTCTAGACAAGTCAGCCCTTCCCTTTTTCTTGGCCTTTTTTCATAAATAATCATTGCAAATTGGCTTACACCACTCAGTGTACTGTTTGTTCAAATCTGTCAGTTTTGATGCTCTGTGAAATAAGATTTTTGTTATCTCTTGTGCAAAATTTGTAGAAAAGTAGGCCTAAGGTGTTTCTTATAATGTGTCTGAGCGTATTTTATCTATGACGCATGGCATCTCGACGCTTCTTCATCCTAACTTCCGGAGACACACCGATGAGGCCTTTTGGCGAATGGTTGAAACGCCATAACTTATATACCCTTATAGATAAAAAAGCAAAAACAGTTAAATCTCTTTACATTTTCACTCAGTTGTGATGTTCTTTTACAGAACCAAGATGGCTGCAGTGTTCTTGTTGGTGATGGTGACCACATCTAGCGTCTTTGTAGCAGGACAGGACGCCCATCCGCCGGTAAGACAACTGTTCAAAGAACTCACGATCAATAAATAAATAAATAAATAAATAAATAAATAAATAAATAAACAAATAAATAGATTTCCCATCCAGCCCGGTTGTATATGGGAAACAGTTACTCACCATGCCTCTATAGACTTATACGTGGTCAATAATTTTACATGAATCTCATAATAGATAGTGGAATACCCAGCAGGGTTATATATATAATTAGCTGACATATGATAGTTGGTCTTTTTTCTGTGTGAGCTGCACACAGCATTTTTCGCAATATGTGAGCTGTTCCAAGTTAGTATGACTTATTATTATTATTGCTAGCTCCAAAGTATCGTGTTCCACTCAGAGAGCCACACGTGGTGTGAGTCCAGACCAATACAGCAGATTTTGACACAGCCGGGATGTGAAAGTCAGGTATTGACTGAGGAAAAACTTTATAGCCTACGCCGGTATAGGCTAGGGGGTGGGGTGGGGATCCCAACTCATACAGCAGATCCTGACACAGCCGGGATGTGAAAGTCAGGTATTGACTGAGGGGAAAAACTTTATACGCAGGTATAGGCTAGGGGGGATGGGGGCGGGGATCCAGACACATACAACAGATCCTGACACAGCCAGGATGTGAAAGTCAGGTATAAATTGAGGAAAAAACTTTAGAGGCGTATACGGTATGGGGTAAAATGGGGGAGGGGGGCAATAGGAATAAATTTATGGTAATATGGTAGGTTGCGTCTCTAATCACTTTTTCTAAACAAGTTTAACGAATTTAACCACTGTTGTTGATCAAAATTTGGTCAGACGTTCTATGTAACATTAAGGTAGATCTTAAGGTTTTGTTTTTAAGTGCGTCATTCGGCAAACATTCGGCTATACAATTTATACCTGCTATTAATGAAGCCATCTGAGCTTCCTGACCTGGGTAGAGCCATATGTATGGCGTGCCAGCACTTCCATCATCAGTTCTTTACCCGCTATACTTTATTCTCTCCATGCCAAGCCAAGAGACAGCAGAGTTATCCGTCCTACGTATTCATTATTGCGCAACGTTTACCAAAATAGCTTTGCAATGAGGAATACATGTGCTTAGACTACATATTTCTAACATTACAGAGTGTCGAAAATAAAGTCTGCGTTGGCCAATGCTACTCCTACTCCGTGCCCAACACCTTGCCCAGTCAGAACGCAGGACTACTGCAGAGGCATGACGTGTGTAAGCCAGCACGAGCACGATGGGAAAAGGTGAGAAATGAATCTCATGTAGTTTTTGTGATTTACATGTGCTAACCGCCATAAACTCCACAGATGGCAGTGTAACAAAAAAGATAAATAATTCTCTTAATTCATTTTCAACGTTCAACGTTGTTTTTGATTTGATGTCCTAATGGCCACAGTCAAATATGTGATTACTTTGATGACGTTTTATAAAACGTCTCATATTTTTGACGTCACAGACTGTCCAGTGACGACACATCATTCTCCATCCTTGTCATTTCCTCCAGGTGACGCTTCAGTGTGCAAATGGACACATGCTGCCAAAGTTTGTCCAAATAATAGAGGAGTGCGCATGCGCAAGTTGCGGCACATCTTCACGCCAGACAGGTTTAGGGACGCAAGACGATTCTGAAACCAAGCAATACTCTTCTGAGGATGAAGGAAGAGATTGCGATAGCTGTGATAGCGACATTGTGTTAGGTGTGGCAGAGGACTCAGAAGGTGCCCCCGACGCAAAGACACTGGATCAACTGCAGCGGGATTTTCCACCCGAAAGAACGGATTATTCGTTGGATAATTTCCTGATTCGGCAGGCGCAGGAACGAATGGTGGAATTGCGGCAGATAAAGCGGCAAGAGAACCTCACCGAAGCAGACGATCACGTTGATTTTACACCCGATTTCAGAGCCAACGTGACATCAATCAGAGGGCGTATTCGGGGGCGTGGCTTAGATGCGTTGCTAGGTAGCACTAACGTGACGTCCAATAGAGGACAGGGAAAGAGGCGTGGTCTGACCAGAGCAGCAAGACGACGTTTACTTGTCATGCTGGAGAGGAGACGAAAGCAAAATGGCGAAAATGATGACAGCAACGACGAAAAAAGTGTCACAGGTTACGAACATTTGCAACGATCTCTTTCCCGTAAAAAAACGTTGTGAGCCCAAAAAACAGTTGCATGACATGGTCAAATTGGTGTTTAGAAAAATGAAATAATCTCTGACACCTAATATTGATATTCACCCGTGACCATGTAATTCATTCTCTGTTGTTTTAAATGGTCCATTTTTAAACTTAAGCTCAAAGCCGATAGTAAATTTTATATTTTAGTTAGATACAACGTATTTATTATGAATGCAAAGCAGAATATATCATAAGTTATAAGTTAATCAGTTGCAATTGTGAATGGCACGGTTCAAATTACACTTCCAATATACCGATATTTTTTATGTGATGCCGAAAATTTTTCTTTTAAACAACGTTGGAGAATGAACATAAAGTGCAATTAAATTATTATTTACAGTAGTAAGCGACGTGCAGTTACTTGTATTTATTCGTCGTTCTGTCGTTTTAATTATCAGCTATTTTTCGTTCATTTTATATGATTGGACGGATGTTTAATTTTCTAAGGACCAAAATGGAATATTTTGCTGTTGTTTACGTTACAGGCTAGGCTTAATTATTATTATGCTACTGGTATCACAGCTCCGGCTTGCTAGAATAAACAGCTTCTAAAAGTTATAGTAATAGTTTTGTCTATACAGCAGTTTAAATTGGAGCAATTTCTACTCCAATATTTCAACTTTTTGCTAAGGCTTTTGGAGCAGTACGTATAATGTATAAACTGAGTGTTTATGTTTAACAGTTTTAAAACGGATTTCTCTACTGGGCAAACGACAGAAGAGCTTAGATGATTGCTAGGGTGTATATCCCTGGTCCCATCTGAGTAGAAGTACTTTCATTATAACACAAATTGCTATTCCGCTCTTTTTTTTACTTTGCTGAGGTATGGACTCTGGCAAAAACCACTATTTAAGCTGCATATGTTAATTCTTCAAGAACATATTGTTTGTATGCCTATTGAACATCCACATATATGAATAAAAAGATGCATTAATTAAACGTGTTTTTGATTGATCACAAAGAACTATTTATATGTTAAAGGGAGCTATGCAAATCGTGGATACAAATGCACTCACGCGTGTAGACATTGACCTCAAGTATACTGTAGAATTTATAAAGACGTACGCGGGCGCCATGTTTATTTAACGTCGTAGGGGAAAAACCGACATCAAGGGTTAAAACTAAAAACATACAACTAACATGGAGTGTAGATATGTATGGACGGCCACTTAGCGTCATATTAAGATGCATCATGGGGAGGTTTTTTGTTAACTGTAGTACAGGTATGACATTTATTCTACATGCATGATATTCATTCTACAAATGCAGCTCTAGCACTAGCTGGAAGTCGCTTTGCCGCTCAGCAGCAGCTAAAATACAACCTGTAAAGGGAATACCCTGTTCCATAAACCACGGCTTTTGGCAGGTGTGGGGCTTGGCAGCGTCGCGTGGGGGGGGGGGGGGGGGAAGGACTACGGGGGGGGGTTA